GTTCCAGTTTAATATGCAAAGTGAGTCATCATCCAAGAATTCGAGAACCCTACAACTTGACTGCCCCTGATCATCACACAACATATGTAAACACGACCAAGTCACCTAAATGTTCACTCACCGAGGACTGAGTCTAAGTTGAATAGAGAGGGGGGGGGGGGTCTGTAGCTTGACAGAGACTGTCTCGCCCCTGCCGGCCGACAGCCTCCCGTCTGCACTGCTCTCCTGACTGCCGTTCTGTCTGTTCTGTCTGTTAATGCTCCTTTCTGGATAGCTCTCCGAGTTTATATTGGGGAACCTAGTAGCTAACTCCGCCCACAAATAGATAGCCTCCGGCACTACCAAGCCACTCCTTAAACGTCGGCTTGTTTGAAGGCTACCAGACTACAATTAAGAGCTTAGCGGAAGCAAGGTGAAATTCTCATGATCTGACCTCAGGTCACTTGAGGTCATTAACGCTTTGAGGTGTGAGATCTCAGGCAGACGACTGGCGCCTCTCAGATCCTTGTCTGTGACTCATGTACTCTATATATATTTTAAATAAACTAACTCAAACACTTTTACAGTGTTACACTAGTGTCTGCTCTCCTAGTGTCTGCGGTCCTAGTGTCTGCGGTCCTAGTGTCTGCTCTCCTAGTGTCTGCGGTCCTAGTGTCTGCTGTTGAGTGCCGGTCGTCAACACTGGCACAAGTTGTAATAAAATCATCTCTATATAAGAACTGAATGGAGGGGGGGGGGGTTGCTACCTCCCCCCCTCACCCATTCCACTTTCCCCCTACTCTCCCCCACGTATTCCCATTTCTCTCCTGCTCCACTTCCTCTATCCCCATTTCACCTGGTTGAATGAGGAGTGTAAACATCAAAACTCTACGGAGAACATAACCCATGATTATATTTTAGACCTCTTGAAAATAGCAGGGAGGGGGGGGGGGGGAAGCACTTATGATATATCATAAAGCATGGCACTAGGGCTGACCCCACCTGGCCTATGACATGCCCATCCCACCCATGTTGCATGGCTTTCCTCTTCGGACAGAAAGATGGACATTTTATATTATAAATATAGATAGATGAGGCAGATAATATTGCACAATGCGCGATGTATTAATGAGAACATCAGTAGTAGTCATGAAGAGGATCCGAACCTGTGGTCTGAGGACTCCCAAGCACACGCCTTACACCACTACACCATGACCTGGGAGTACCCAGAGTACAGGTTCGAATCCTGATTATGGTTCCTACTGATTTTCTCAAAAATTATATTATTATTAATGTTTATACGGCTATGAATAACACATTGCTAGGTGCAAGGTACACCTCCCCGGGGGCGTGTGTGACCTCCCCGGGGGCGTGTGTGACCTCCCCGGGGGCGTGTGTGACCTCCCTGGGGTGTGAGTGACCTCCCTGGGGGCCTGAGTGACCTCCCTGGGGCGTGTGTGATCTCCCTGGGCGCGTGTGTGACCTCCCCGGGGGCGTAAGTGACCTCCCCGGGGGCGTGAGTGACCTCCCCAGGGCACCAGATCATCATCATGATGACCTCAGCATCTGGGGGTCTCAGCATATCTCAGCATCAGAGCCAGATGACCGCAGCATATGACTTATGCAAATGTTGCTCCAACATTACACGTCTCCCGTATCGCGCCATGCATTTTTACCATCCACTGAGCGTCCCTATATTCCCCCGTCCCTACCAGCAGCTATCCATCCATCTCGCCGTCTCATATCGGGACGGTATGGAGGATAGGGAGAGGGGGGGATGGGGTAGTAAGAACAGCAGCCTCCAGGGGTCAGCATCTTTGCTATCATGCTTCCATCTTTAGACCCACCCATTACGATCCCTCTGTCTTGTTCCGTTCCCCTCGCCCGCTCTCCCCCCTCACTTGCTGTCCCCTTGGTCAGTGTCCCCTCACTTGCTGTCCGCTTGGCTAGTGTCCCCTCACTTGGTGTCCCCTTGGTCAGTGTCCCCTCACTTGCTGTCCCCTTGGTCAGTGTCCCCTCACTTGCTGTCCCCTTGGTCAGTGTCCCCTCACTTGCTGTCCCCTTGGTCAGTGTCCCCTCACTTGCTGTCCCCTTGGTCAGTGTCCCCTCACTTGCTGTCCTCTTGGCCAGTGTCCCCTCACTTGCTGTCCCCTTGGTCAGTGTCCCCTCACTTGCTGTCCTCTTGGCCAGTGTCCCCTCACTTGCTGTTCCCTTGGCCAGTGTCCCCTCACTTGCTGTTCCCTTGGCCAGTGTCCCCTCACTTGCTGTTCCCTTGGCCAGTGTCCCCTCACTTGCTGTTCCCTTGGCCAGTGTCCCCTCACTTGCTGTCCTCTTGGCCAGTGTCCCCTCACTTGCTGTTCCCTTGGCCAGTGTCCCCTCACTTGCTGTTCCCTTGGCCAGTGTCCCCTCACTTGCTGTTCCCTTGGCCAGTGTCCCCTCACTTGCTGTTCCCTTGGCCAGTGTCCCCTCACTTGCTGTTCCCTTGGCCAGTGTCCCCTCACCTCACGCGACTTAAGAACTTCATTCAGCATGCTGTTGCATGGAGCGGTTCGCAGGCCGCATATCCACTATAACCAGGTTGGTCCACCGTTTCTTTGCAAGAAACTGTCCAATTTCTTTATCTGTCAAATGTTTCTTCAGTTGCCGTCCCCTCATTGTATTCACCTAGTTGTGCTTTGGGGGGTTGAGCTCTGCACTTTCGGCCCGCCTCTCAACTGTTAATCAACGATCCATTTTATTTATCTCTCTCTCGCACACACCCTCCAGAAAGCAGCCCGTAACAACTAATTTCCAGGTACCTACTTACTGCTAGGCAACAGGGGCATCAGGGTAAATCCGGTCCCCAGGATTACGAGTCCCGAGTGCTGTCCACTCAGCCACCAGGCGCCCAGTCTTTTTTTTTGGTGGGGGGGGGGGAGGGGGAGTAAAGAGGAAGGAGAGGCATAGGTGAAGGGAAGTATAGAAGTGGGAAATACAGTGAGAGGTATGAAAGCAGGCGGGCTGTCCGCCTTGCTGACACGATGTGTGGGTGTTGGCAGCTAAGCTAAGCTGGCTCCCTCTTGTCAGGGAGCTGTGAGTGTGTGAGAGATTCTTCACATGTGTTTCACCATATGTGGATGTCTATAGATGAATACTGTGTAGCATTCATATATACACACTCCGATGCTTCCACACATGTTGTTCTGTTTAAAGCTCTTTATTTTATTATTATTATTTATCGAGTTATTTATATACAAATATATACATACATACACATACACACACACACACATATATACACATATATACATACATATATACCCATATACATATGCATATACACAACTATACACATGTACACATACATACTCAATTTTTCAATTATGGGGGAAGGATATCTGGTCAGTATTTCATCTGGGAATTATGTACTGTGGGGCGGGGTTTTCATCTAATGAATCGCGGCTCTTGGGCCACCAGCTGTGGGAGTGGGACGTCTCATCTTGGGCCACCAGCTGTGGGAGTGGGACGTCTCATCTTGGGCCACCAGCTGTGGGAGTGGGGCGTCTTATCTTGGGCCACCAGCTGTGGGAGCGGGGCGTCTCATCTTGGGCCACCAGCTGTGGGAGCGGGGCGTCTCATCTTGGGCCACCAGCTGTGGGAGCGGGGCGTCTCATCTTGGGCCACCAGCTGTGGGAGCGGGGCGTCTCATCTTGGGCCACCAGCTGTGGGAGCGGGGCGTCTCATCTTGGAGCAATCTTTCTAAAATTGGGTCCTCTAACATTTCGATGGTGTTCCAAACCATGATGGCTTGGTGCTGCAGTCTGATGTTTAGTGACTGTATGTTCAGGAGTTCATGGCCAGTCCTGGTGGCTGAGGTTAGTGGGCCGCCCCACCCTCCCCGCCCCTCACTATGGTCGTGGTGTGGGGAGTATTGGGCCACCCCACCCTCCCCGCCCCTCACTATGGTCGTGGTGTGGGGGTAGTGGGCCGCCCCACCCTCCCCGCCCCTCACTTTGGTCGTGGTGTGGGGGGTAGTGGGGCGCCCCACCCTCCCCGCCCCTCACTATGGTCGTGGTGTGGGGAGTATTGGGCCACCCCACCCTCCCCGCCCCTCACTATGGTCGTGGTGTGGGGGTAGTGGGCCGCCCCACCCTCCCCGCCCCTCACTTTGGTCGTGGTGTGGGGGGTAGTGGGGCGCCCCACCCTCCCCGCCCCTCACTATGGTCGTGGTGTGGGGAGAAGTGGGCCGCCCCACCCTCCCCGCCCCTCACAATTAAGATATGGACGCCTCCTGCATGCTAGTCTCTGCTCGAGTCTGTTTTATCCAGTGTTTTGTTGGTGTGTGTTTGTGTGTGGTCGCTTGTCCCAGGCTCCCGCCCGCCTCCCGCCCGCCTCCCGCCCGCCTCCCGCCCGCCTCCCGCCCGCCTCCCGCCTCTCTTTTGTTTCTTGCTGGCGAGGGGAGAGCCTCGACTCACCTAGTTGTGCTTACGGGACTGAGCGTCGAGCCTCCGACTCCGTCTTTCCAGCCGTCATTGGTCTAAAACAATATCTCCCGACTTACTAGATTAATATAAAGATCTTCATACGAAGTTATTTATGGTATTCGCCTCGAGTATTATATCATCCCAGTTTATAGTCTAGTTGTTCACTCTCCAATATGGGTCACTTGCTGGAGTCCCCTGCTGGAGTCCCCCGCTGGAGTCCCCCTCCTGGAGTCCCCTGCTGGAGTCCCCCTGCTAGAGTCCCCCTCCTGGAGTCCCCCCGCTGGAGTCCTCCCGCTAGAGTCCCCCCGCTGGAGTCCCCCCGCTGGAGTCCCCCCGCTGAGGTCCCCCCGCTAGAGTCCCCCCGCTGGAGTCCCCCCGCTGAAGTCCCCCCGCTGAAGTCCCCCCGCTGGAGTCCCCCCGCTGAAGTCCCCCCGCTAGAGTCCCCCCGCTGGAGTCCCCCCGCTAGAGTTCCCCAGCTGGAGTTCCCCCGCTGGAGTCCCCCGCTGGAGTCCCCCGCTGGAGTCCCCCCGCTGGAGTCCCCCCGCTGAAGTCCCCCCGCTAGAGTTTCCCCGCCGGAGTCCCCCCGCTAGAGTTCCCCCGCTGGAGTCCCCCCGCTGAAGTCCCCCCGCTAGAGTTCCCCAGCTGGAGTTCCCCAGCTGGAGTCCCCCCGCTGGAGTCTCCCCGCTGGAGTCCCCCGCTGGAGTCCTCCCGCTGGAGTCCCCCCGCTGGAGTCCCCCCGCTAGAGTTCCCCAGCTGGAGTTCCCCAGCTGGAGTTCCCCCGCTGGAGTCTCCCCGCTGGAGTCCCCCGCTGGAGTCCCCCCGCTGAAGTCCCCCGCTGGAGTCCCCCTCCTGGAGTCCCCCGCTGGAGTCCCCCCCGCTGGAGTCCCCCCCCAGGAGTCCCCCGTTGGAGTCTCCCCCGTTGGAGTCCCCCTGCTGAAGTCCCCCTGCTGGAGTCCCCCTGCTGAAGTCCCCTGCTGGAGTCTCCCCGCTGGAATCTCCCGCTGGAGTCTCCCCGCTGGAGTCCTCCGCTGGAGTCCCCTGCTGGAGTCCTCTGCTGGAATCCCCCTGCTGGAGTCCCCCGCTGGAGTCCCCCCGGTGGAGTCCCCCCGCTGGAGTCCCCTGCTGGAGTCCTCTGCTGGAATCCCCCTGCTGGAGTCCCCCGCTGGAGTCCCCCCGCTGGAGTCCCCCCGCTGGAGTCCCCTGCTGGAGTCCGACGAGCAGGGAATATGAACTAAGAGAACTGGGAGCATCTTGAGAGGGATGAGGAGTAATGGGTATCTCAAACTTGGTGTTTTAATACACCTTGGTTACCCCTGGTCTCTGTACCTGCTCGCTGGTTACGAAAGGAAGGGGAGAGGGTGAGGGGGACAACCCTCCAAGTTGTAACTTCAACCTAACATACACTCAGAATTGAATTTCACCTTTGTAAATGCACATTAATGACACTTCCAACACTTTATGTAGGGCATACGTAGATCTGTGTATCTATGTATTTACGTATGTAGGTTAGCTTAGCATTTTAAAAGTACCGAATCACCTTCTGTGGTTGATTGTTCAATAAACCCTTGAACTATATGTTTAACTGATCTCTAACCCTGTCCATGGAGGACAGAAGAAAATGTATATATGCTGGTTAGCATTGTAAATGTGTGGCCACGTCTGTGGTAGAAAATAATAATAATAAAAAAAAAAAAAACTCATACTGCAGGCAGGTCTGGTCAGGAATGCACACTCACCACCTAGGCTGTAGATGACTAAAGGAAAGAAAGAAGAGGGTGCAAGATCGTTCTCTTCCCATTGGGAAGAGTGTCAAGGGTAAAAAAGGGGGGGAATTGAGGTGTAAAAGTGAAGGTGTGGGTGAGTGACAAAGGAGGGATGCCGCCACTCAGAAGTGTGCATTATGACCAAACCACTCACCACAAGACGAAGACACGGTCCGTCCTCGATCATTATCAAGTCGTGTGTGTGTAGACTCCTTGAGAGACCTTTCAGTGTGATATTAAACTATTACTGACAACACTCGCCTCAATGAATATTATACAAAACACGAATACAGATCAGACTGTTTAGTTACTGATATTCGGTATGATCAGTCAGTCCTTCCAGCCCGAGGTGACATCAAATTAATTACATCATTAATATTAGGTCATTAAATAAACACAATAACAGTTGACACAGTTATTAAATATTAATTACTTTACATTTATAATAATGAATGAAAGGTCAAGACGGGAGCCAGGAGTCAGAGTCAGTACAGGACTCAACACGGCTCACAACTGGGTCTCTGGCATTTAAAACATCTGGTACACACAATTACCACCACATTAACAACCAAACTCACCAAGGGCCTTAATTAGACAATCCACTAGGGAATGTCGGCCCGTAGCAACCAGTCCTGCAAGGCTGAGATGGGCATTTTCTCACTCTGAGGCTCACTAAATCTGGGACCTAATTCTCAGTATCTCCTCCTGTAGCTGCTTCGGATTTTTAACCTTAAAAATCAGGAGCCCCGTCCATCGATCTAGCCTGAGGCTACCGAGTGTGTAAACAAAGGAGATGGGGGGGGGGTTCTTTTTTTAATGCTATTAGCACGCGCCATAACAATGCTTTTCTGCTCCCTGATCTCATGACCTGACCTGACCTGACATGACCTACACTCATTGACTGTAAACACAGCTGCAGATAATTCGTAAGGTGTAAGATCATTTTGCCCGTCTCAATTCTGATTATGTCTCTGCAGTATGTCTATATATGTCTCAATAACCTGGCCATTAGGGCTATAACACCTGGTTCCAAAATGCTTGCCGTTTTATTCAAGCTCAAGAAATATTTCCTTTTTCTTAAATACATCAGCTGGAGAAATGTTCAGTTTGTTCTTCTCTGGAGCACGACTGTGGCCTGGAGCGGCGGCCACAGGTGGCGCAACAATAACACCATAACCGCTCCGGACCTCAACTAGTGGCCTGGCAGAGTTCACCGTCCTGGCCAGGCAGAGTTCACCGTCTTTCCGGCTCCATTTCTCCCACAGTTGTTAAAAGAAATCCATGGTAAAGAAGTATAATCAGTTGACCTCGTCCATCATGAGTTGTTAGCCAAATACAAACCACTTGGACTGGACGGTAGAGCGACGGTCTTGTGCCACGCAGGTCGGCGTTCAATCCCCAACCGTCCAAGTGGTTGGGCACCATTCCTTCCCACCAGTCCCATCCCAAATCCTTATCCTGATCCCCTTCTAAGTGCTATAATAGTCGTAATGGCTTGGCGCTTTCTCCTGATAGTTCCCTTCCCGTCCCCTCCCACAACAAGTTCTCTTTGTTTCATATATCACTTCAACCTCCATTGTTTCTGTTGTCGGAACTTGCGAATAGTTTACCTTCTTTTCCATTATGGGAAGGTAACTCTAGCACTGCTGCTGCTGCTTGTCGCAGTCACTGTGAATCGCTAGTTGCGGGATTGAACGCAGCGCTGCACCGTCTTCTTGAAGAATGGTCTACCACACTGTGTCACCCGACGCCTTTGATCTTTAGTCTTCCAGGAGTCGCGTGTGGCGCTGACTCTTGAAACACCGTCCATGTGTGTCCTCGCCAACCCGCTCTCGCACAAGACAGTACATGTATGACTTATTGCTTATAGTCATTATTTGGCTGATTAATAAGTATATATGTGGTATATGCCAAGTCATATTTTATTTTTAAGGTACAAACTCTTCCTATAGAGTAGCTAAAGACCAGTTTTAATATTTGGAATTTATTTTTCAATTTTATTAAACAATAGAGATTTTATACAATATCTGACAATATCCTGAGTTACTTTACAATTTATATAAATATTTTGGTTTTGTTTTATTATTTTTATAAAACTGTAATATCAATATAGGTATAGGTTAAGTACTAATTGTAATTAGGAAGCAATAAGATGCTTATCTTAACATACTAAGAAGGTTAGGTTAGGTCGGTGTTTTCTATTCAGCGTTTCAAGATAAACTCAAATATTCACAATAAATTACTATGTCACATATGCACTTATTAATAAGCTAATATTGACAAAAAGCAAGTGCGAGAACGGGTTGCCTTCGCAGCTCATTTTACTGACCATTGTCGCTCCTTCAACAATGTGTTCTAAAAAGTGATCAGTGCCACCTGTTGGTGGCCATGTGGCCTGGGCCGGTGGGGGGTAGAGGGGCCTCTGTCCCTCTTGGGGAGAGGGGGGCCTGTGCCCCCCCCACACTACAGGTATGGGGGGGAGGGGAGCCGTCCCCACCCTTTACAGGGCACAGGCTTCCCCCACACACTACAGGAAGGGGGGGAGCCTGTGCCCCCCCACACTACAGGAAGGGGGGAGGAGCCTGTGCCCCCCACACACTACAGGAAGGGGGGAGGAGCCTGTGCCCCCCCACACTACAGGAAGGGGGGGAGCCTGTGCCCCCCCCCACACTACAGGAAGGGGGGAGGAGCCTGTGCCCCCCACACACTACAGGAAGGGGGGAGGAGCCTGTGCCCCCCCACACTACAGGAAGGGGGGGAGCCTGTGCCCCCCACACACTACAGGAAGGGGGGGGAGCCTGTGCCCCCCACACACTACAGGAAGGGGGGAGGAGCCTGTGCCCCCCCACACTACAGGAAGGGGGGGAGCCTGTGCCCCCCCCACACACACACCGTCCTATACATGGTCAATTGAAACTGGCCGAGTGCGTCCCCGTCCACCAATCTCTTTATAGCGTCATATAGGCCGCTCCAGCCCTATTTTTATCCCGTGTATCTTGATAGCTCGGGGATGGGCGTCTTGGAGAGAGGGGCGGCCAGGGGGAGGGAAAAGCAGAAGAGGGAGGGATGGACGGAGGGAGGGAGGGATTGGGATGGGTGAAGTGTAGTGGTCAAGCCTTAAATGACGAGATGACGATAATGAACAAGGATAATGTGGGCTAACTAGAAAAGAATGAGTGTTAGGAGGAGGAGGGTGTGAGTAGGGTGTTAGGAGGAGGAGGGTGTGAGTAGGGTGTTAGGAGGAGGAGGGTGTGAGTAGGGTGTTAGGAGGAGGAGGGTGTGAGTAGCGTGTTAGGAGGAGGTGGGGATTGACTTTCCTGCACACAGTAGTAATACACACCTGGCAGTATAGACCTGCACACAGTAGTAATACACACCTGGCAGTATAGACCTGCACACAGTAGTCACTTCATCACCTCTCATATTTGATGGTAAAAACGTGAAGTGTTAGTTTCTCTTGTGTAGTGGTGAAGGGTGAAGCAGGACCTTGAGGTCGCTCGCTGCGGCTACTGTGAGAATGGCAACTACGACTGTTTGACTGCTGCTGCTGCTGCTGCTGGTGCTGCTGCTGTTGCTGCTGCTGTTGTTGCTGCTGCTGCTGGTGCTGCTGCTGGTGCTGCTGCTGGTGTTGCTGCTGCTGTTGCTGCTGGTGGTGCTGCTGCTGCTGCTGCTGCTGCTGCTACTACGTCCACCTCCTCACCACACGATATCATGTTCAGCTAAAAATAAATATTTAATGTATTCCAAGGTTCCACAACTGTGTACGAAGGTAAGTCTTGCCTCACGCTGGTACTGCATTGCCTGCCCCGCGTGTTTCATAACGCTCTCCCGGGCAAGGCTCTCTGCATAATGCAACGTTTTTCACGCTCAAGCTTGCTGACACTCTTAATATCTTCAAGGTTTGATAAGCGTTCAGAGAGAGAGAGTGAGAGAGTGAGAGAGTGAGAGAGTGAGAGAGTGAGAGAGTGAGAAAGTGAGAGAGTGAGAGAGTGAGAGAGTGAGAGAGAGAGAGAGAGAGAGAGTGAGAGAGTGAGAGAGAGAGAGAGAGAGAGAGTGAGAGAGAGAGAGAGAGAGAGAGAGAGAGAGAGAGAGAGAGAGAGAGAGAGCTAGTTAGCTCTGTGGTCCATGGTGATTGCGTCGTCACGTATTTGATATTTTTACACTGCCAGGAGTTCTGACGTAGTCGCACCTGCTCTTGAAGTAATGAACCAAGACAGCTTCCAAGACCTCTGCTTCAACCTCGTGGCATTTGTTTACCAATATTTCCTTCAGTTTCAACTCGTTTCCATTCATCATCTCCACTTTTCTCCATTTTCTCCGGTGAGTAATCTGGTCAAGACAGTTGCTTGTGGTCCTTCTTCTAGTGTGGGTTAAGTTTTGTTAACTTGTCGTCATAACTTAAGTCTGGGTTACTTGAGGCACTTGTCTCCTGGCACTCCCTGTCTCCGTTCTTCCTGTGTTAGGTTATGCACCAGTAGTCTTGTTGTGTGTGTACTTATTATTTTGTATTTACTATATTACAATAGTGCATAGTAAAATACTTGCAGATATTATTTGTATCTGCGTACTTGTGTCTGCCTCGGATGGGAATCTAACCCTGGTGCTTAGGACTACGACTCCGGAGCGCTGTCCACTAGTCCACGAGAAAGTGTATGTGTGTATTTACTATTTTTTTTATCTGCAGGATCGAGCTACTAGCTCTTGGACCCCACCTTTATAGCCAGTCTATTTTTCATGTAATTATGTATCTACTACATATATAATTCTCTCTAACCCACACACACACATATCCCCAGGAAGCAGCCCGTAGCAGCTGTCTAAATCCCAGGTACCTATTTGCTGCTAGGTGAACAGGTGGATCAGAGTGAAATAAATTCTGCCCATTTATTTCTGTCTCTGCCGGGGATCAAACCCGGGCCCTTAGGATTACGACCTCCTGAGCGCTGTCCACTCAGCCGCGAAGTGTGTGTGTGTGTGTATGTGTGTGTGTATCCTTGTGTGAATTAGCAGATGTGTTAGTACATGTGCTGGTGAGTGTGAGTGCATGTGCTGGTGAGTGTGAGTGCATGTGCTGGTGAATGTGAGTGCATGTGCAGGTGAGTGTGAGTGCATGTGCTGGTGAGTGTGAGTGCATGTGCAGGTGAGTGTGAGTGCATGTGCAGGTGAGTGTGAGTGCATGTGCAGGCTTGAGTGAGTGCACAACAGGACGTGATTAAGGGCTGGCCTCCACCAGGCCCTCGGCACATTACCTTCACTCATTACTCGCTAATATCTTCATAATTATTCCTTATTATTACTTCAAGTGGCACTCGGGGTCATGATAGGCCCTAGAGTGGCCCTCGAGCCTCACCCTTGGGCGGCCCTCCAGCTGGCCTGAGGGTGGGGAGGTAGGTGGCCCTCGAGGTTGATGCAGGTGTGTCAAGGGCCGACCTACGTCGCTCTTGACACGACACACAGCCTCGAACGTGACCACCTCCTCCCCCTCGCCTACCTCTAGTAACCTCTACCTGTGCCAACCTCTACCTGTGCCAACCTCTACCTGTGCCAACCTCTACCTATGCCATCCTCTACCTGTGCCACCCTCTACATGTGCCAACCTCTACATGTGCCAACCTCTACCTGTGTTAATCCCTACCTGTGCCAACCTCTACCTGTGCCAACCTCTACCTATGCCATCCTCTACCTGTGCCATCCTCTACCTGTGCCAACCTCTACCTGTGCCATCCTCTACCTGTGCCAACCTCTACCTGTGCCAACCTCTACCTGTGCCAACCTCTACCTGTGCCAACCTCTACTTGTGCCAATCCCTACCTGTGCCAATCCTTACCTGTACCAACCTCTACCTGTGCCAACCTCTACCTGTGCCAACCTCTACCTGTGCCAACCTCTACCTGTGCCAACCTCTACCTGTGCCAACCTCTACTTGTGCCAATCCCTGCCTGTGCCAACCTCTACCTGTGCCAACCTCTACCTGTGCCAATCCCTACCTGTGCCAATCCTTACCTGTGCCAATCCTTACCTGTGCCAACCTCTACCTGTGCCAACCTCTACCTGTGCCAATCCCTACCTGTGCCAACCTCTACCTGTGCCAACCTCTACCTGTGCCAATCCCTACCTGTGCCAACCTCTACCTGTGCCAACCTCTACCTGTGCCAACCTCTACCTGTGCCAACCTCTACCTGTGCCAACCTCTACCTGTGCCAATCCCTACCTGTCAAACCCCCTTTATCAAACCACAATCTGATACACTTTGTGACGTATACCAGCCCCTAGTCAGCCTGCTACCATCATCACAGCTGGCTGCCTGGGAAAATGTTCTAC